AAAAAACAATGTGATTCTGTCACCAATAAATTTATCTGAAGTAATAACCACTTTCCCTTTTATGATATAGGGAAAAGCTTATAAAAAAGATGAGAGTCTGGCCAGTGTGGCCCAGTGGTTGAACAATGACCCATGAACCAAGGAGTCACTGGTTCAATTCCCAGTCAGGGCACATGCCCAGGTTGTGGGCTCGATCCCCAGGAGGAGGCGTGCAGGAGGCAGCCAATAGATGTTTCTCTCTCACCAATATTTCTATGTCTCTATCCCTCTCCCTCCCAAAAAAATCAATAAAAAACATGTTTTTTAAAAAAACATGCACATGACTCTATCAAAAATAACTTAAATTCAGACCAAGTGGAGCATTTGTCCTGATACCTGTGGGAGTTCCAGTGGCAGTCAGAATAATGACAGTGCTGTACAGAAGGGGGGAGAGAGGAAGATGGGTTTGGATGTATTTGTGCGTGGATGTTCCCCATGCCAATCCACCCAACCCACATGCCATCAGACACTAGTCTGACACCCTTTGAAGTGGAAAGGGTGATTGTAGACAGCAGCCCACTCACGCTCAGGTGCCTGAAATAGACAGGAGCAGCGTAGGAAATGACAATCCAAGCCCTACTCCCCACGCCCTAGGGCAGTGATGGCGAACCTATGACACGTGTGTCCAGTGATGGCGAACCTTTTGAGCTCGGCGTGTCAGCATTTTGAAAAACCCTAACTTAACTCTGGTGCCGTGTCACATATAGAAATTTTTTGATATTTGCAACCATAGTAAAACAAAGACTTATATTTTTGATATTTATTTTATATATTTAAATGCCATTTAACAAAGAAAAATCAACCCAAAAAATGAGTTCGAGTGTCACCTCTGACACACGTGTCATAGGTTCGCCATCACTGCCCTAGGTTGTCACACACAGACTCCCCCGCACCCACCTCCTTAACCCTAGGGAACCCAGTCCTGCCCTTCTAAGTGAATTCATGGAGAAAGGAGTTGAATTAAGCTTTAGAGAAGAGTGTGTAACCTGGTAGAATATAATGTCTCCAGGGCACACATTTTATTTCTAAAGTATGGATCAGCTAGACATAGGCAATTGATTTTGTTATTGATAGTAAAAGCAATCTAATTAATGCTCGCCACAACCCTTTGAGATAACTTACTATCATCTCCGTGTTATAAAATGGTTATTGCTTATTGAATTCAAATTGCATTAGACTAGATGCAGCAAGTTTTAATTAATTCAGGGGCAATAATCCATAATTGAAGTTGTTTGTTTCTATGAATAACTTCCTGATGGTTTCCATTCATCCAATCTTGCTGTAGCAGGAGGCGGCGGTGCAGGTAAACAGTGCACAGCCCCGCAGGAAGGACACGTGGATCATGTGCCAGCAAGTCAGGTCACCGCGCCGAGGCTCCGCAACCCCAGCTTTGAAAATCAGAGAGCGATACCTACATGGTCAAATCAATACCAGGGACGGTAATAGCCTCTGGCGCCAGACGGCCGGGGTTTGTGTCCGGACCCACCACTTAATGTCCGTGTGAGCTTGTGCGCATCATTTAACCCCTGCGACCCCTGGTCTCTTCATCTGTGAAAAGGGGATCTGTGATGGGGACCAAATGAAGATTTGTAGAGCAGTTACACAGTGCCTGATCCACAGTGAGTGCTATGTGGGCGTTGGATAAGGAAACTAAAACAGAAAAGTTAGAAGAGCAGGAGCAACGGAAAGCGCACCTCTACCCAGGAAGCTCCAGCTGAGACGATTTTGGATAAACGATGGCTTCCGTCGGCCACGCTTCGCCTCCTCTCTCCCTCTCACGCTGCCTTCACCTGCTCCTCGGTGACTACAGAAAACCAGCCCCGGGATGTGAAATGAAACGGCGGTTCAGAAGAGCAAACTCATTTTCCAAAGGACATTTCAGAGGAAAAAGAGGCCCTTGGCTCTCTGCTACATTTCCTCGACTCTGTGAACATTAGCGAGAGAGTTTCATTTTTGCTTTTATGTAGGAAGCTTTGCCATTTTAAAAATTGAAAGAAAGAAAAATGACTCAAAGGGACATCAGGATGGTTTTAAAGAACCAGGCACTTCTTCAAGAACTGCAAGTAGCAGCCAGTGTTTTCTAATCACGCCCCAGTAAATTTCAGAAACTTGCTGAAAACTCCCCTGCGCTAGTACTCGCGGGCCTGCCTCGTCGGCGTATAGTGCATGTGTGTATCCACATATAAGAGCTCTCTTTTTGGCAGACATCCACGCCCACATGCCTCATAAATGCTATTTGAGTACTTACCTAAATAGACAAGGACTTGTTGAAAAATAACAATGAACTGATCAAAGCAGTTGCGTAGGATTGAGATTTCATCCATGTGCAAGGGAAAAATATGATTTGTTCTAACAATTTGCACATAAGCAACAATTATTATATCTGCCATTAGAGATGTGATGAATTTGAGTAGGATACATTCTACAATTAAAATTTTTATTCCTTTTAAAATATATATGTATTTTTATTGATTTCAGAGAGGAAGGGAGAGGAAGAGAGAGATGGAAACATCAACGATGAGAGAGAATCATTGATCGGCGGCCTCCTGCATGCCTCACACTGGGAATCAAGCCTGCAACCCAGGCATGTGCCCTGACCAGGAATCCAATCGTGAGCATCAGCCACTGAGCCACACCAGTTGGGCTTTATTCCTTTTTTTATGCACATAACATGTATGTCATATGAAAATAGAAAAGAGGGATAAAGCAAAAAACAAACAAAAAAACAACCAAACACTTTAACAAACATTGGAATAACCATTTTGGTAGAACTGTGACTAGGACACAGGATCCCGAATTGCATGGATGGAGAGGACGGGAAGCCTTTAAAAATATCCCACTTTTGTTTCTCAATCCAAACCATGAGGAATGTCAGATGAAACAAAAGAGAGAGTTCCAGATCAGGAACCCAAAGACCTGCCTCTAATCCGACCTGTTAGTGGGTAGCGAGAGTATGCCTGCGGGCCTCAGTTTCCCCACCTATCAAGAACAATAGTTGGACTAAAGGACTCCACAGAATGTGAGGACACGGCCGTTCTATTATAGGCCCATGGACACGATGCTCTTTCTCACCCTATCCTGGGACTCATAAAATCCTTTTTAAAACATCTTTATTGTTGAAAGTATTTTATATATATATCCCTTTCCCCCCGCCCCCCCAGTCTTGCTATAGCAGGGAGGCTGTGGCAGGTAGAAAGTGCACAGCCCTTCTACAAATTCCCCCACATAACCTGTTCCCACTTTTTTCAGCTCCCCTCCCACCCCCCACCCCAGGCCTTCACCACCCTATTGTCTGTGTCCACGAGTTAAGCGTATATGCATACAAGCTCTTTGAAATCCTTTTTCTTAAAGACTTGGAAGAATCCCCCCAATGTTGTTGGTAATGTTCTTTCAAAGCAAGCCCTCCCACACCGTGGGTGGCTAGTCCCACTGCAGTCACCTTCCCGATGACCTGCTTGGGATAGAGCAGGTGAGGACAGTGAAGGACTCAAAATCCTACTAGGGTCCAGGCCTGCGCTGCTCTGTAGCCATGGCTCCACCCAGGCTGCTCGTGCTCCTCTGCCGGGCACAGACATCCTCCTGCGAAGGACCCGGCCTTGTTGAATAAGGTGACTAACACTTATTTTCTTCTTCCCTCCCAGTGGCCAAAATCCAATCTCTATGCAAATGCTTTGGTCAGAACATTCTTCTTTTTAACGGGTACCAGGATTCTTCTCCGTGAACAGGAAGATTTGGACTCGCTGTTATGAACGGCATAGCGTTCCTCCCGAGGAGAAGTAGCTGATCTCATTCGTCTGTGCTGAGACCAGCAGGGCATAAAGGCGTTTTTACCCCCAGGTCTCCCAAGGACTGGCGAAATCCACCAAAACCAAGGCTGACCTCTCGCCCGTGTCCTCATGCCCCAGGGGAGAGATGGCGGTAGAGCTTCCTTGTCTGGAGCCCAGAGTTCAGAATACACCTCAAAGGTTCACTCACCTATTCACCGTTATTTACCAGAAGGAATCGTGCAATTGACCACTATTTTTATTTGGGGGAGGGTGGTTTTCTTGGGATTCTCACAGGTCAGACAAGCCCTTGTCCCAAAGAATTACACATTCCCCTGGTTGACCCCTATCAGTGCAGCCCGTTAGCCTTTCTCTTCCTACTTTCAATTTCTCCCCATGTTAGGTATTTTTGTGTACCATATGCATTTATTATCTATCTGCTGCCACCAGAAAGCAAGCTTTTAGAGCAGTGGTTCTCAACCATCTGGCCCTTTAAATACAGTTCCTCATGTTGTGACCCAACCATAAAATTATTTTGTTGCTACTTCGTCACTGTAATGTTGCTACTGTTATAAATCGTAATGTAAATATCTGATATGCAGGATGGTCTTAGGCGACCCCTGTGAAAGGGTCATTCAACCACCAAAGGGGTTTCGACCAACAGTTTGAGAACCGCTGTTTTAGAGGATGCCGACTTTGTTCTGTCCACACCTATGTCACCAAGGGGAACAATACACATCACAGGTACCCAGCAAATTATCTATCATCCAATGGCTAAATGTCAGAACCCCTCCAGGTGAATAAAGAATATTTAAGGGTCAGTATAAATCATCTCATTAGCTTTAGGCCCAGGAGATAGTTAATACACAGAGACATCAATTATATCGCCACCGAATGCTCTCCCATCTCAACCTCTGAGACTCGAGATGGCATTTCCAATGTAAAGTTTTATAACTCCCTGTCCCTCCTTTACTGTCAAAAGGCACAATTTAATGTCCAATTCTATTTATGTCTTGTTGCAATAAAGGAGATGCTCTTTATTGCATGGGTTGCAATCAAAGCTTCATGTTTTACAACTGGAAATGCCTTAGACAGTATTACTCTCAGCCCCAGCTAAGTTTCACTAAAAGAAAGGCACCCGCCTAAGCTACCTTTGAGCCACGAGGAACCCATGCCAACAGGGGCTGGGACACTTACTGCCGGAGCAGGAGGCTTCTTTAGGGCTGGACGACATCGGCTGGGCACAGAGTTGACAGAGGCAGTCTCTCCCGTTGAACGTGACGCGGTCTCCGGGTGGAAACGGGCGCCTGGGGGACAGAAGGACATGGCTTGGCAGGTTATCCCAGCGATTTCACTCCTGTTCCTTACGCCTCTGCCTGCTGCCCTCCGGTGCCAAGTCCTTACTTGGAGAAGCACCAGCCCAAATGTCTGAAATACCATCGGAACCAAGCCGGCCAGCTGGACACGGTCCAAACACACAAACGTGCCTCAATTTGAGAAGGGAGAATGCGCTGCGTCTGCGGGCACCCAGAGAGTAAAGGGAATGAATGAGTCACCTCTGCTCACTAGTGGGGGATGTTCCAACAAGTCGCTCAGCGGGGCGCACACAGTAAAATTTTCCAAATGGAAAACCCTTCATGAAGAAACATTTCAATTGCCATACATTCCTATTCAGGCTTAAGGCCCCTCCCCAGGAGAGCTGGTCACAGGTCAAGCGTTAACGCTTTCAGCTCCCAAGACCTCTGTGATAAATTCTGCTGATTTAGACTTTGTCCTGGACCTCTGAATGGGTGATGGGAATGGATCATTGTGCCGGGTGGGACCCGGTGTCTCTGGTGGAGAAATATGACAATGCCATAAATATCTGTTTAAAAATTACTACTAGTTTCTTTCCAGAAAGAAAATATCCTTTCCCATGAGACAGTCATCAATAACAGCACATTTTGCAAAAATACTGCCTTCTGCATATATGGTACCAGTTTCTTCTGCAGGCAGATAGCATTTTGACAAAATCATGCATGAACAGCCATAGGTCAGCTTCCATGCCTCCTTACTTGCGCTAGGCCAAGGTGCCAATTATCTCCATCAACATGGGTTTTCAAATGTGTGATTGTCTTGATGGGAAATGGGAAGCTCACAAGCAAAACAGCCCCGCACACCTGAGTCAGAGCGATTACTTAAGGACAAAGTCAAGCTTCTTGATGTGAGTTTTGCTTTCACGACTGCCATCCCTCCTGAAGTCGCCCTTGGGCTGCCTCACAGTGGCAGTGAACTGTGAACTGTGATACACACACAGGGAGTACATTCGGACTTAACACCACGCCACCCGTGGCTTGGTGCCAGTCGCCGAGGAGCGTGTTAAATGCTCTACCCCCAAGTTTTAGAAATGCTGAGTTGTGGTCGCCTCTCTTCTCAGGGCTCAGTGTTCCTTTCCATTGTTCAGATAAGGCCCGGAGAGGGTCAGCGACTGGCCTGGATGGATCAGCTGGGGAGGCCAGGTGACAGGCAGGTGCAGGGGATGTCCACCAACTCAGAACCTCCTTATGATAGGAGTCAAACCCAACTTAAGTTCTCTAATGTGTAGCACTCACCGCAAAACAATCAAAGCACATTTTCCCACCCACACTCAGTTTCCTCTCTCTGACTGATCGTTTTAATCAAGTGAAGTTAAGATTACGCTGTAGATGATAGATGACCAGGAGCAGGGATTGGCAAACTTTTCTCCTAAAATACCAGCTCATGGATATTATTTTGTTTTGTACTAGGTGGATCATATGATTTTTGTCACAACTACTCAACTCTGTCACTGTAGCTTGAAAGCAGCCATACATGATTCATCAACAAATGGGTGTGGCTGTGTCCCAATAAAACTTTATTTACAAAAACAGGTATTAGGTCTAATTTGGAGCATGGTTTGCCCACTCTTGCTCTATGAGACTACTTTAAACACACACACACACACACACACACACACACACACACACACGTGCGCGCACACATGCACACAAGAACTGCTACTTCCAAAGAAGCTTTATCTTCCTAATCAGTTATGTCATTTCCTCCCAATGTTTCATTGCTTAAAATCTTTTGAGACCTAGAGCTACTTTCAGACTTGGTTTCAAGCCACTCAATGTGAGTCTTATTATTTAGTAGAAGACACCATAAATTATTTTTTGACAAAGGCTGCTAATACAGTAGAAAGATAAAGGAATCTAAGGACACATCAGAAAAAAGAATATTTTAAGACTAAGCACAATTCAAGACTCCAGGAGGCCATCCCAAGCATCGGCAGCAGAGCCCAGCACTCTGCCGGGAAGCCCTCACTTACTTGCAGATGGTACATGCGAAGCAATTGGGATGGTAGGTCTTGCCCAGGGCAGTCACCACCTCTCCTTCCACAAACTCCCCACAGCCATGGCAGCGTGTCCCGTACATCCTCTGGTAGTCCAGGGTGCAGAGATACTCCCCGTTCTTTATGAAGAAGCCACCTTGGGCCAGGTCACAGCCGCACACTGTGGAAAGACAAGTTCACATCCGGTTATGTTGTCTGTCCAGCTGCTGAGACAGTTGCCCTCTGCATGCTGTTCACTTACTCTATGATCTCAGTGGTTTGGGCTTAGGGGAGGGGACTGGTACAAAGAGCTATTTATTGTTGGGCTCTGATCTCTCTCTTGCCTCCCTCCCCTTTAGTTTCCTATCCTTTGGGAGCGATGCAATATCTCAGACCAGTAAACTCCACTGGCCAGGTCTCAATGTCTTTTGTGGTATGTCTAAGATTCAGAGATAATCAAACGGTCTTGGATGGAACGATACTCTTAGTTCATGGTGTCTTAAATATGAACCAAGCTGTCCCTGGCAATGCCATTTAGGAAAGGTGCCTACTGCTTGCCCACACAACTGCTTTGTTTGAGCCAAGATTGTAACTGAGCTGAGTAATAAATTCCCACTCTATGAAAAGCAGTAGTTGAAATGTCCAATGTCTATTTTTTCACACTCTGGAAATACTTTCTCATAGCTATGGAAAATTTAGACGTTTAATTTTCTCTTTGTGCAGTAAATAGGAAAAGCCAATTATTTATACATGATAGAGTGAGAGATAAAAATGAACAGGCAGAAGAGGAGAGAGAAGGGAACTTGCCCAAGAGAAAACGATCGCTCAGGACCTTAACACATGCAGAAGAGGATGCTTCGCTGTGTCTGGATCCTGCTGTCTTCTTTCAGCACTGCAGCTGTGGGTTATGGAGACGGGGCAAGGAAGCAGGTCCTGGGATGCCAGGGGCTGAGGCCCGGTGTCCATGTTCAGACAAGACCAGTGAAGGCCACAGTAACTTGTCCAAAACCAAAGCCTCAGGCAGCCACTGCTGAAGGACCGGGAAGCTACGGCCAAAGCTGGAAACCTCCCATCTTAACCCCCCAATTCCCAAGGTTGGGTGATGCCTGTACAATCAAGGGCCTTAGGCCAAGAACCCAGGATGCTTCTTGGTTATTCCTGCAAGCAGCTAATAGGCACTCAGTTGGTGTACGAAGGAGGTGAGTTCAATCACTAAATTGCTTGCCTACTAGAATTCTTTCAGGGTCCAGACTACTTCCCATGACTCATGAACACACCTAGATGAACTCGTGCTGACTACAGGGACATTCTGATGGAGCTAACTACTCCCCCACCTTCAGTTACCAGACTTCACTAATTGCAAACGATTAAAGATAGTCAGGGTGACGTAGAGTCTACAAGCAAGCTGTCCACTGGGGATCCATCAGCCTATGTTTAGATCAACACTCCACAGCTATGACCTCCTTCTTTGTGATTTACAATCAAGTAACCCAAGATGATAGCCGAAGTCCATCACGCCTGAGAATGACCACCCTATAAATACTACTGTGATCACATCACCTGGAAAACAGCTCATTCACCACCTGCTGCCTCCTCTAACCTGCCAGGGTCCCCACTGTTCTCACATCTGCTTCATCTTTACCAAATGGGTCCTGTGGGTTGAGGGAATGCAAATATGGACTAACCTCATCCTGACTACAAATTCCTTTAACAGCAATAAACATAATCTTGGGTTGGGGGAGAGAGGAAGGGCTTGTAGAATATCTCAGAGATTTTTCTTCAATATTCTTCTATGTACCTATCTTATTTTTCCACAGGGTGACAAAGCACTTTATGGATAAGAGTCCTCATCTTTACTTCTTTTGATCCTTCAACCATGCTGTGTAAGCAATTTTTGAGATAAGTTGAATTGAGCCTCAAATTTGACGGGTTCCCCTGGATTCCAACCTTCAGTGACATCATTTGCTTTTCCAAACTTTCTTACTTCTCAAAGTCATGAGAAGTGAAAAAAGAATGCATTTGAACTACTATTAATTCCCTTTATTCTCTCCTCCAATCCCCACAAATTTTTTTTTTAATTAAAGTTGGTTGGTTTTATATTAACAGCTTAGCAAATACTTTTAACTTTTTTAAAGTGCTTTTAAAAATACTCTTGCACAAAGCAAAACTTTCACATCCAAGTGATCAAGAAGTCTCAGTTAGTAAAATCAAACTTGAGTAGAGTTTTTGATTTTTAAAACTATTTAGATCTTTAACTTTGGGTGCTCTACTTGTCTTTGCTTTAGTTGAAAATTAACATATGCCCAGGGAAAAGCAGAGACCCCTTTCATTAAAAATTATATATATCTGCCAGTGACGGAGATTAATTGCTTCCTTCTCAGTGACCAATTATTTAAAACATGTGCACCACGCAAGGCCCCTCTGAATCTTGCTGCTTTGCCGTCACGAAGGTGTGGCTACAACAGCCATCTGCCTTGAAGATGTTAAGGTCTTGAATTAATTTACTGAATACTATTAACTAGTTAAGTAGGAATATGTACATCTAAGCAATTTGATGTAGAAGTTGAGATATTGTAACAGGCACATTTAAAAGTTTTAAATCTTAAAGAAACAATAATAGGAGCTGCCTGTGTTGTAAAACTCCCAAGGAACAAAGCACAGAGGTGCCAAGTAAGGATGAAAACAGAACAGGATTTTCGTGACACGAACAGGGCTGCAGTAGCAGCAATCTTGTCAACCTTCTAAAAAACAGTTAACACTGACTGTTGGAATTAATCCACATTTAGGAGAATAGGAAATACTTAAAACTCTGCCCAAAGGCCGGCTGGGGGTAAAATGCAAAAGACATTTCCTTCATTGATATGAGTAGACCAAACACCTTTGCTGGGCGGCCACTATCATTTGTGTTTTCACCAATTCATACCACCAAAGGAGGAAGGGACATGACACAGCCACGATCAATGTGTTCAATTTAGTTTTGAGCAACACAAGAATTTTAATTGGGGGCCAGGAGTCTTAGGCGGGTCCTTTCTTCTCTTTTCTAGAGCAAGTGCCAGCGGGTTAGCCCATCACAGGGCAAAGGGAGTCCTTCTGAACCTGCTCAGGGAAGTGGAGGCTCCAGGACTGGGACCTGTGTTACACCTGCTGTTTCCGGTGATCAGGGCCAGGTGCTCCCGAAGTGCTACTTGACCCACCTGCCTGGGCCAGCACCCTCCCTGCTCCTCCCAGCCCCAGGCACTGGAGCTGGGGGTGGGACAGATGCAGGGCATGGAACTCGGAAACACTCCCTGGCGGATCGGTCCTGTGATTACCAGAGACTTCCCATCCTCTTCCTCCATCCTCTACTCCAACTCCATTTTAAAATAATTTTATTTCATTCGAGATGTTATTCTACTTATTTCCTCAAACTCTTTTTTCATAGAACATACTGAGGTAGACTTTCACATCGTGCCTTCCCAAACCACCAAAAATTCCACGGTGTGTGGGGTCTCCTTGAGTCAGTCTTTGGTCTGGAACCCAGGGCAGTCTGTTTGAAAGCATCAGGCACTGAAGCTCAAAAGAGCCACACCCTGCAGCCCAGAGCCCAAAATAGCCGAACAGAGACTCGTAAACAATACGGTGAGGGGGCAGCTTCCCGCCAGAAATAACTACTTGCTAATGTGTCAGCCTGGAAGCTAATACTAACCCTCAAAAAACATACTGTGATGGTTTTTCACATTAACTTCTCAATGCCCATACATTTCAATGACCTTTCCTGGGAAAGAAGATGCTGAGACGCCCAAACAGATGGCAAAAGCGGGCCCCCAAGGCAAGGGCTGTATTTAACTCGGAGCCTGAATTTACAATAACAAGTGAAGAGAATTGGTTGGAAGGGAATCATTTTGGCATCTCTTTTATCAAAATCTTTGACTATGTACTAAGCTTGTTTTTAACACAAGTAACACTTCATGTACAAACAGCATTAATTCTAACCAGCTAAAATAACAAAGAGATCACCCAGAATGATATCTCTCAATGTCCTTTTTTTTTTTTTTTTTGCCTTCTAAGATTTGGCCCATAACACAAAAACAGGTTTTAACGTCTTCCATGCCAGCACAGATTACTTCAGTAACCAGAAGTACCAGGCACAGGGCTGCCAACGTGCACAGGGAGAAATAAGAGCTGGCCGTGTTCATAGGACCTTACTTACCCCAGGCAAACTTATCTCAAAGTAGCCACACGTTGGAATTTTGGGTCCAGAGGTATAATTTGGGTTTTTGTTTGTTTGTTTCTGTTAATACTCACTTGAGGATATTTTCCCATTGGTTTTTAGAGAGAATGGAAGGGAGAGGGATAGACAGAGAGAGAAAAAAACATCAATGTGGTTGACTCCCACACTTGCCTCGACCAGGGCTGGGCAACCGAGGTGTATGCCCTTGACCGGAATCGAACCCACAACCCTTCAGTCACAGGGCAGCATTCTATCCATTGAGCCAAACCGGCTAGGGCATCCATTGGTATATATTATTCAGATCTATCTTCTCTCCAACCCCCTTCCCTGTTCGGTCCCCAGAAAGATCTGCATCATGTGTCTCTGCCTTTTATGAACTTCCAGGCTCCCAGGAGGCAGCCTCAGTGAGAGCTACCTGTGTGTCTATAAGCTGAGCCGAGAGAACAGATGAGGGCACAGACGCAGTGCTCTCTTCATCAGCAGCCACAGAAAGCAGAGAGCACGGTGTCTATTAACCCTCCTCACGGGCTCTTTACCTCTAGTTTCTCTCCTGCCCAGCCTCCTCTGCTCACCTCCTGAGACCACTGTATCAGGTGGCTCCCCTGCTCTGCTCTGCTAAATGCTTTGACCTTGCACATGAGGCTCCGCATCTTCCAAATGTTCATGTCAGTCTTCCTGAACACCCCACCAGCGCTTTGCTCCAATCAACCTGACCTGCCACCCCCTGCCGGACGGACACCTCCTCTCACCTCCTGCCTGTGCCAACCCCACCCAGCCTCCCTGGCTGCACTCAAGGTTGACCTCCTGATGAAACTGACCGCTTCCTCCAGTTCCCCAGCTCCGATTCCTCAGGGCTCAGAACAACTACTGACATTCAACTCATATTTAATATATATTGTCTTGTACCTTATACTGCCCTTGTGATTTTCTCTTGGTTTCAATGCAAGTTTATGAAAGGCAGAGACAACTTC